TGCTTTCTTAGCTTAATTAATTAGTTTAATTAGTTAAGTGTTGTGTAATAATTAATTATCTTGTTAGTTAGTTAATTTGCATTATTCTTTCGGTCTCTCCCTCGAGAGAGCCTATTGTTATAATAAGTGTGCGTTTGTGTGACGCATGTCTTCCAACTCCCATTTCTTTCTTCCTGTTATTTAACCGCTTATGAGGGTTAGTTCTAGGGCACATTTCATTTAGCATACCTTATGCTATGCATGTTTGCATCATTCATTCGTATTGCATGCACCGGGCTCGGCGCATCATACTAACTGCATTGTGTTTCAATTCCTACTTGAATACATGTATCGAATTGTTGCATCTCATATGCCATTCTTAGGATAGCGGAGCCTATTCTAATTGCATTTTTGCATGTGTTGCATTAGCCATTGCTAACATGAACTAGGATCATGCATGATTACTAACTAGTTCTTTGTTTTGGTTCGGAGTACACTGTGAGTTTTTATGCTTTAGCATCTTGCATGTATGTGAGTGTTAACATGACAACATGCTTGCCATGAGGCTATTTGCTTACGTGATATAACTGCCTGAATGCCTGTGGGTGAAGGTTGGATTACATGAATTGGGACAATTCATTGAAATTCGCATTTTAGCCTACTTGCGAGTAGCAAACCTCAAACCATTTTCCAAACAAACGGATATGTGATGCTTTGTTCCAAATTAGGCGATCTAGTCTATAGTTGTGTGTTGTGCGCATCACATAGTAAGATTAGCTAATTAACTGGAATAAGAACGCATGTGTTCTGAAAAACAAGATATCATGTTTAGTAGTGGCCGATCTTTGATCGGGTGAGTGGGGGTGCTCATAGATGACATTCCCCAATCGTACCCAAGTTCCTGAGCCGAAGCAACTTTGGTAATGACGGACACATGGCCTTAGGGAACGAGTCAGGGTTTCCTAAATTCCCCCGAAATAAAAATATTTAGGTGGCGAATCTATAGCTGGCAAAGCAGTCCATGTTTGGCACTTCTTTCTTAAAAATCAGTTTTCCAAAAACAATTTGTTGGATTTGGACTCTTTAGTGATTTATCAATCTCACATTGCACATTGTGGGATCAGATTAAGAACCATGACACATATTGAGTCCAAACTGTGGTAAGCATAGGCCCCCTAGGGCGCGTCCACACGTATTTATGTAACTAGTGGTGAATTCATTACTCTAGGTTTTTCACGAAAATCAGTAACTTCATCTTTAATTATAATTGCTAGTTTAATCTCTTAGTTTATTTTAGTTACATCATCTTTTTAATCAAAAATTGAATTAGGAATTTAACAATTAAATTAGTTTAATTTCTCGTTTGTCTCTATAGATCGATATCTGGACTTACTATTATTCTAAAGAATTTGGTATAGCTTAGTGTTTTTTTTTTGGTGTGTGAAATGACCCATCAGTTTATATTTATACAGGACTTTTAGAAACAAATATATCTTTTCTAAGTGTTCAACTCTAAAAATAAAGAGATAGTTGATTTATATAGGACTCTTCATGACTTTTATAAAATATAGTAGATTTGATAAGGTAAAATTGGGATTTAAAAAAAATGTAAAAAACATGGCAAAAAAAATATAATAATAACAAAAATCAATACACATTTGAATTTATATAAAAAAAAAATTCAATATTATACTTTTTAATTCTATTTAGATTATTAGATATTAGATTTTCATGTAAAACTATAATTTAAATATAAAATATTAAGAAATTTCAATATCTTTAGTTACCAAAACTGAAACAATATGAAATATTAAAAGATTTAAAAAATAAAACAAACGAAAGTAGTTTTTGTTTAGAATTTTGACATCACATCTTGGTTATTAAAGTACCATATAAAATATTACAGTTCAAAAAATATAATTTAAACAAAAAGAAAGTGTACGAAGATAACCTATGAAATTTTGAGATGCATCACAAATCTCTGTTTTACAAATACATGTATTTTCTCCTGTCTAGATTCAAATGAATGCATACAACTTTAAGATTCAACCAAAAATTATTCACAGTGATTTGATTCATGATAGATAATTGTAAATATTATGTATATCAGTATAAAACAGACACAAAAAATAAGAAAAAGAGTAATTATTTTTTATCTTCAATCATTATCAATGTAAAAAATAGAAAGACGGCTTCTTTTCTTTTCTTTTGTCTTCTTTTTTTTTTTTTTTTTTTTTTTTTTTTTTTTTTTTTTTTTTTTTTTTTTTTTTTGAGAAGAATGGATACAGTTTGTTTATATTTATATAAGACTCTTAGAAGCAAATATGTCTTTTTTGAGTGCTCAACTCCAAAAATAAGGAAATAGTTGATTTATATAGGACTCTCATCATGACTTTTAGAAAATATAGTAAATTTCATAAGATAAAATTGATATTTTAAAAAACAAGTTCTTCACACTTTTATAATAATAGTAAATTTTTACTTTGTTGATAAAAAAAATTAAATTTTATATGTTTTAAGAGTATTTAGATTAAGTGAATTTAATGGGAAAAAAAATTGATTAAAATATTCAAAATTTTCACTAAAACTAAAAAAACACAAATTCAAAATCTAAAAAATATTTTAAAAAACTCTAAAACCAAACATCAATTTTACGATGTTGATAATATTATCTTTTAAATAAATTCATAATTTATGAGTATTATGTTTTGTTTTAAATGAAAAATTCACATAAAAATTATATTATTTTGTATAAAAAAACTTATTTATGCATCATTACTTTTTGTATCTTTTAGACCATTTCTAATGTTACATCAGATGTTTCATCAAATTCAAATTTGATAGAAAACGGAAGAACTATCCGGTTTAACATTGTCATCAACCTGATATCAGATGGAGGTAGAACTAAATATTTCATCAAATGATGACAGTGTTTATCATTCATCAAATTTGTAGGTAACCGTTGGGCCAAACATCCTCCCAAATGTCCTTCCAGACAACTGAACTTCCTTTATCTAAACCCAATTTTTGCCCATGTCCAGACATCCTCCTGGACAATCGGGCATTTGATGAAAATTTTGAATTTAACGTTGGAGTGCACCGTATCAAATCAAATTTTTACTTAAATTTAATAAAAATTTTGATGCAACATTAAAGATACTCTTAGATATTTAAAGGTGTAACATGTAACATCTTGTTCATGTGATTTAATGATGGCCTCCACTAGGTATTTCCATGTGTTTAATTATCAAGAAAAGGAAATTGTATTATCGTTATTTTTCGAAATTTAAGTGCACAAAATTGTGAGCTCTAAGAGTATGCAACTAAAATTATGAATTGTGTTGTTTGAATCAATCAAAATTTATGTTTTGTACACATTTTGATAGTGTGAATAAAATGAATAATAAAACAAAGCATACTTTGTACACAGTTTATTGAACTTACTTATAATATTTTATTTTAAGATTTGTGATTAAAATTTTGTGCAGATTTTGCTTACCATTTAAGAGGGGGCAATTATTTAAATATATTAAAAAAAATTAATATCGAGATAAGGGTTTTAAAAACACAATTTCATCAAATAATAGGAATTGAAAAATAAATTTAAAACTATTTCAATTTGAGAGTTTGGATTTGAGAATTCTATTTCAGAACAATTTGTTATACTCTTACTGCTAAGATGCCATTTAGTATTTCTTACCGTTAAGAATATCCTGTTACCACTAAGATAACTCATTTAGTGAAAAACACACAACACAGATACTGTCACAGTACCATCCCAGAATTCATCCATAACTCGAAGGTTCAACGTCTCAAAATACTTATTCGTGCTTACACAAGTAAAGAACTAAAACAAAAAGCAAGAAACTTCCACCATTTTTAAAAAACAATCAATAACAAGTTATGGTAATTGAATGAAAAAAAAAAAGCGAACAAGTTATGGTAATTGAAATATCCATAGTAGCAAGCCTAGTTTTCTTCGCTTGTTCAAAATAGCGGGAACTTTCATTCTCTGAACTACCACTACATTATGTTCATCAGCATTCCTCCCCAAAAACAAAAAACAAAAAAAGGCTTCAATTCCTTTCCAACAGCACAGCCTCTGCACATCTGCTTCAATAAATGATAAGTCAAATGGTTCACTACTCTTAACAAAAAACCAATTTAGATCTTTCAAATATATATATATATATATATATATATTTTCCTTTCCCCTCACAATTCTTCAAAAAAAAAAAAAAGAAGAAGAAGAAGAAGAAGACCAATGCATCACATTTTGTAACGTAAAGCATCTCAACTTGTTATTGCATAACAATATTATTTATAATCAGAAGTATTCCATTATTTGACATTTCAGAAGGCACAAACCATAGTATTTGGAAAAAATAGATCCAAACGAAATACCAATCAGATCATCTTCTAAAATGTCCAGTGATGAAAGGCAAGTTAAAATTAAATCTTGCAACTCAAATTCTTCCTAGTTGTACAACCAAAATGATTATATCTTTCTCCAATGGTTTGAACTCATAGAATTGGGTTTGAAGTTACACTAGGCCTTGATCTTTGAGAGATACTCCTTAATTGTATCTGATTTCTTAGAAACAAGATTTAACTTGTTCTTCAATTGATGGATATGAGATCAAGACAGAGATGTAAATCTCTTGTTCCAGGACGACCAAATCTCAGAGCAATGCTAGAACTGTAGCACAGTTGAGTAGATTGGTGGTGTAAGTGTAGCAGTGATACAGGTCAATAGATGAGCATCAATCATACACCATTGAAGAAACAATACAAAAATCATGGAGAAGCATGCCAAGCCAAGCAAGTTCTGCAGCAGTATGAGCCAAAGACCTGTACTCAACTTCAGTAGATGACTTCAAAACAGTAGCCTACTTCTTTGCAGACCAGGAGATGCGATTAGTCCCTAGAAATACACAGTAACCAGAGGTAGACTTTCTATCAAGAACATCTCCATCCCAGTTGGAATCTGAATACGCATGAAGATCAAAAGAACTGGGAGTTTATGTGAGGCCATGATGAAGAGTTCCCTTAACAAATCGAAGAACCCTTTTTACTGCAAAAAAATGAGCATTAGTAGGGTCCTGCATATGTTGACATAATTGATTAACTCCAAAGGACAAGTCAGGTCTGGTAATTGTCAAGTATTGCAAAGCTCCGACCACACTTCGATACAGAGTGGGATTGGCAAAAGAATGATCACAAGTAGGAGTCACAGTAGGCTTGACTGCAATAGGAGAATAGCAAGGTTTACAATCCAGCATTCTAGCTTTATGAAGAATGTCTTGAGCATATGTAGGTTGTGATAAAACAAAACCAGAAACTGTAGACTCAACAGAGATACCCAGAAAATAGGATATGGAACGAAGTTCTTTCATAGAAAACAGTTGGTGGATTTGAGTGACTAGAGTTTGAATATGCTTAATATCACTGCTAGTGATTAAGATGTCATCTACATACACTAGAAGTGCAGTAAAAGTAGAGGATGTCTTTTGAATAAACAGAGAAGAATCACACTTGTTGTTGGCAAATCCTTGAGAAATGAGGAAAGAGGAAAATGTTAAGTACCATGCTCTTGGAGCTTGCTTAAGTCCATACAAAGCTTGTGAAGCATACAAACAGAACTGGCGGAGGTTTCAAACCCTAGAGGTTGCAGCATGTAAACTTCGTCTTCAAGCACACCATGAAGAAAGGCATTTGACATGTCTAACTATTTGATATGCCACTTATGATGTAAAGCAATGCATAAGAGAATACGAATAGTGGGAAGCTTGGAAACTGGGCTAAATGTTTCTTGGTAATCAATGCCCTCTTGTTGAAGATATCCCTTAGCAACTAACCTTGCCTTATGCCTTGCAATAGCATCATCAAAGTTCCTCTTAATTTGAAATACCCATTTACAGCCTATAGCAGTTTTTCCAGGAGGAAAAGGAACAAGAGACCAAGTATGTTGCTTCTTCAAGGCCTGAAATTCGTCTAGCATGACCTGTTTCCATATGGGAATAAGGAGAGCTTCTTTGTGAGAAAAAGACTCAAAATAAGAAGCAGAAGAGGATTTGACAGAAGAAAGTGCAGCAGGATTAGATCTGGTAACCATGGGATGAAGATTTAAAGAATGAACAGAAAACTGAGAAGGAGTAGGAGTAGGAGAAAGCAAAGGCAATTGAACAGAGAAAGATTGAATTGGAATAGAGGGTTGAAGAGTAGGAGAAACCAAAGGCAAAAAGGCTGACTGAGCTGGAGAGGAAATAGCAGATGGTAAAAGAGAAAAATTAGCAATTGAAGGAGAAGAATCAGGAACTGGAGAAGACCAGAAGAAAGACTGAATCTGAGGTAAAGAAGAAATAGAGGAAATAGAAGGAGAAGTAGATTTGGACATAGAAAAGGGAAACACATGTTCATTAAACACAACATGTCTGGATAAGTAAACTTTACCTGAAAGGGGATCAAGACATCTATAACCCTTAGCAAAAGAATGATAGCCTAAAAATACACATGCAATAGATTTAGGCTGTAGCTTAGTAGAGGTATAAGGTTTTAACCAAGGAAAACACTGACAACCAAAAGTTTTTAGAAAAGTAAAGTCTGGAAGATGATGAAATAGAACTTCAAAGGGAGATTTGTGACCCAACTTAAAAGAAGGCAATTTGTTAACCAGATAAGTAGCACAAGCAAGAGCATCAAACTAAAAATGAAGAGGAATAGAGGAATGATGTAACAAGGCTATAGCAACTTCAGTGAGATGTCTATGTTTCCTCTCAGCCACACCATTCTATGGTGGTGTATATGGACAAGAATGTTGATCTAAAATGCCTTGAGCTGTGGTAAAAGCTTTCATTTTATTATTACAGTATTCAGTGCCACCATCAGTTCGAAGAATCTTGAGTGAAGTAGAGAATTGTTTTTTAGCATAAGCTTTAAACTCAAGAAACTTATCATACACTTCACTTTTATAAGCTAAAGGATACATCCATGTAAATTTGCTAAAATCATCCACAAAAAGAACATAATATTTGAAGCCAGATGTAGAATCAAAGGGACCCCAAACATCACTATGTATCAACGAGAGAGGTTTATTAACAGAAGATTTAGACAATTGAAAAGGTAAACGATGGCTTTTAGCAACATAGCAGTCAATACAATCAATTGAAGTAACAGACTTATTGGTAGTAAGCTACAAATAAGGAACAAGATGCTGAAATTTCAAACTATTAGGATGACCTAGTCTATTATGCCATACAATACTAGAAGTAGGCAATGAATTATTGACAAAAGAATCTAGTACAGTAGTAGCAGCAGATGTGAGTAGTGATGTGTTTTGAGAAGCAAATGCAGCAGAAGAAGATGTGTGAGTGACTGATGGAAGAAAATGGTATAATCCAATTATAAACTTTTGAGAAGCAAATGCAGCAGAATTAGATCCTTGATGAAGAATTCTCTTCGTAACTTTGTCCTGAATTACAAACTTTGCTTCATCAAAACTAATAATACAATTATTATCCTTTGCCCACTTTTGAACGGAAACAAGATTAGAAGACATAGAATTAGCATGAAGAACATTATTAAGTTTTAAAGAATAATGAGGTGTCGGAAGAAGACCTTTACCAGTGTTCTGAATGGGAATAGAAGTTCTATCACCTATGGTAATGTGATCTGAACCTGGATAAGCCTAATAGTTACTGAGATGATTCAGATCATTGGTAATGTGATCTGTGGCTGCAGAGTCTAAGTACCATGGACTAGACTGAAAATCTGAAGAAACCTGAGACAGATGTGAAGAAACATTAGGACCAGGTAAAGAAGATGTAAGAAGTGCTCTAGGTTGCTGAGGAGAAGAGAATTGGGAGGATGAAGAATGAGTAGAAGCATGTGAAGAAGACTGATATTGAGGATCCATGCGATGCCAACAATCGAGTGTAGAATGACTCAGTGCTCCACAAATTTGACAACCTGAATTAGAATAAACCTGATTGAAATTTCGTCATCTGCCTCTGTTGTTGCTGTAATAGCGACCATTGCCTCTATATGATCCTGAATTGCAACCTCCTCTGCCTCTGCCTCTATAGGACAATCTGCCTCTTGAATAAGTTGAAGTAGGTGCTCGTGAAGCAGAATTAACAGATCCAGATCCTTTAACAGAAGAGAATGCAACAGTTGGTTCTACGACCATCTTGTGTTTAGCTTCCAAATGAATCGCCTCAGAACACAACAAAGATGATAGATCATCCATAGTTATAGTGTCAGATTGAGCATGAATGGATGTGGTGAAAGCATCATATTCAAATGGCAAACCATTCAAGGTGATTAACACCAAATCTTCATCTTCAACAATTACTGAAGGAAGTGCTAACTGACTGACTAAGGCCTTGATCTTTGAGAGATACTCCTCTATTGTATCTGATTTCTTAGAAACAAGATTCAACTTGTTCTTCAATTGATGGATATGAGATCGAGACAGAGATGTAAATCACTTGTTTAGAAAAGACCAGATCTCAGAGTAATGCTGGAACTGTAGCACAGTTGAGTAGATTGGTGGTGTAAGTGTAGTAGTGATACAACTCAATAGATGAGCATCAATCACACACCATTAAAGATGATCTGAATTAGGCTCCTCTGTTCTTGTTGAAACTGTAATTGTAAGTGAATGACATGGTGTTGAACCATCAACAAAACCTAGAAGATTAGTAGCCCTGAGAATGTTGGACAATTGATTTTTCCAAATGATAAAGTTTGAACCATCAAGCTTTACATTGGCAAATGATGAAAGATTGGATATCAACAGAGTTAAGTTTGAAAGAAGTGAAGAAGACAAAACAAATGAAGATAGTGAAGATGAAGTTGCCATGGATCAGGAGCTCGTGCGAGTATCAATGCTTTGATACCAAGATGAAAAACAAAAACCAATCATATATCATTTAACTCTTTTTCATATCTACAAATATCAGTAGCACTCTCTATATATACAAGAAGAAGATAACTAACAAAACCAACTCTAACTACAGCATAAGAATGTGTAGACATCCCCGAACATCCCGGGAAGAAATCCCCGTTTTGTTCATTGGGCTTACTACAGTTCGGACTCAAATGTCACGATTCTTAATCTGATCCCGCAAAGTGCAATGCGAGATTGATAAATCACCAAAGAGTCCAAATCCGGCAAATCGTTTTGAAAAACTGATTTTAGAAAGAAGTGCCAAACATGGACTGCTTTGTCAGATACAGAGTCACCACCTAAATGTTTTATTTTGGGAAATTTAGGAAACCCTGACTCGTGCCGAAGGCCAAGTGTTCGTCATCACCAAAGTTGCTTCAGCTCGGGAACTTGGGTACGATTAGGGAACGTCATTTCATGAGCACCCCCGCTCGCCCGATCAAAGATCGACCACTACTAAACATGATATCGAGTTGTTGAAAACACATGTGTTCTTATCCCGGTTATTAGCCTAGAATTACTATGTGATGCACACAGCATACAAGTGTAGACTGGATCGCTTGAATTAGAGCAAAACATCTCATGTTTGTTTTTGAAGGCGGTTTGCTACTCGCAAGTAGGCTAAAATGCGGATTTTGTCACCCTCAAGTGGGCTTAGAAAACATTGTGATTTGCCACTCTCAAGTGGGCTTAAAACTCGCAATCAGTGAATTATTCCAGTTCAAGTAAACCAACCTTCACCCACAGGCATTCAGACAGTTATATCACAGAAGCAGTTAGCCTCATGGTAAGCATGCTATCATGGCAGTCACTCACACACATGCAAGGATGCTAAAGCATAAACACTTACCGAGTACTCTGAGCCAACGCAGAAACTAGTTAGTAATCAATGCATGATCTTAGTTCATGTTAAGATGGCTAATGCAACACATGCAAAATGCAACTAAGATAGGCTCGGCTATTCTAAGATGGCATATGAGGTGCTACAGATAACATGTATTCAACTTGGAATTGAAATACAATGAAGTTAGTATGATGCGCCGAGCTCGGTGCATGCAAGATAGATGAATGAATGCAAACATGCGAACATGAAGATGCTAATTGAAACATGCCCTAAAATTAACCATCGTAAGCTGGTAAATAAAAACGAGAAAGACGTGGGGTTGGAAGACATGCATCACACACACGCACGCTTATTAAAAGGCTTGCCCTCTCGACAGAGGGTCTGAATAAATGATACAGAACCAACTAGCTAATCTAAGCTAATCTAATTAAACTAGTTATTACACAACGAAATGAATAACAAACTACAGCTAATTATTACACAATACTAACTAATTAACAAATTAACTAAGTAAGCAATTAAACTAGCATGCAAACTACATAGAATGGGCTGCCTCAGCTCTGCTTTGGATGATAAAGGATGCATGCATGCTCAAATCGCCTTGTTGGGAAATCCATTGCGATGCCCCGACTTGCCTTTGTTTGCAATTGATGTTAGAATCTTGCGCAAAGCTCCAGAGAGATGAAACTCCACCTTAGGAATCTATGAGAAGGCTGCCGACCAGCTATAGGCATGGGAGACCACTTGCCGACCACCTTTTGTGGTGGAAGCCAAAAAAAGTGGTCAACCTGCCAGTAAATCTAGTCAGCCGACAAGTTTCTTCTCATGGTTTCTGGTTTTTTGCAACAAAGGGCAAGAGAGAGGCACGGCATAGTATTTGCAACACATGTGTGCACGACCACTCTCCCCATCATTTTATAAGCTCAAG